TTAAACACCTGCTCTACCACTGAGCTTCATCCCCAGTCCTTTTTATTTTGAGACAGGGTCTCATGAAATTGCTTAGGGCCTTACTAAGTTGCTGAGATTGGCCTCAAACCTGTGATCCTCCTGCCTTAGCCTTCTGAGTCACTGGGATTACAGGCATGCACTACCATGCCCCATCTAAATCGACTTTAAAAAATAAGAATAAAGAGGGAGTTATTCAGACATTCTGTAGAGGCATAATAATGAAAACAGTGAGGTTCTGGCACAAGAATAACCAAGTAGACCAATGGAACAAATTAGATCACACGAGGAAACTTGAAATCAGATGAGGTACCACAAATCAATAGAGAAAGAATGGACATTTAGGAGATGGTACTGGGCATTGCCCACTATATGAAAAAAATAAAACCAGAATCCACCTTATATCATATTAAAAAACAGATTCTAAAGACTTGAATGCAAAAGGTAAAACTACAGAGTATAAGAATCTTTGTGATCTGGGGCAGAAAAAAAAGATTCTGAAAGCACAAATTAAAAGGCAATAAAGTATTGATTTTAGCACATCAAAATTAAGAACAGGTAACCATCCTTGGGGGAATCGTTAAGTAAAATGCAGCCAGCACACCCCATGGTGCCTTTGGCAGCAATTAGAGGCAAAGCACTAATATACAAACGGCAATCCAGACACAGCTTAAAAATACAGTGCTGAGTAATACGAAGTTCAAGAAGCAGAACAGGACTGTAGCACTATGCAGTTTGTGTAAATTGAAAACACAGACACTTGAAACAACACTACCTATTTTAGAAGGATACACATCAAGCAAAATAGAGCAGCTGCCCACAGAGGTGGGAATTGGGAATACAAACAAAAAAATAAACACAGCAAGAGGAGGGCTTTTTCTACCGACTGGCCTATGATAGAAACCTACCCTGAACTGCAAAGTGTGATTAACTCAAACCTCTGCACTTCAGATCCTTGAAAAGCCAAAAGAAAGCCAGTGGCTTTACTCGGTAATAAAGTCTAAAGCAATTATGTCACGTACTCAAACTCAGAAACAGCCATGGGGAGTCCTTTTGGTGAATACAGTCCAAAATCAAATGCCTTTGAAAAGACATATTTGAAGGTCAAGACTGAATCATACTAGTCAATGATACTATCTCAAATATGGGTTCACCTCTCAAAAAACAAAACACTATAATTCTTCACTTTAAAAGAGAAATCCTTTGTTTTTGCTTTTTGTTGTTTTTTGTTTGTGTGTATGTTTGTTTGTTTTGTGGTACTGGGGACTGAACCCAGGGCTTGGCACCTGCTAAGCAAATGCTCTGCCACCGAATTAATTCCCCAGCTCAGGAGAAGCCTTTTGTTTTGTTTTTTGGTACTGGGGATTGAATTCAGGGGCATCTGACCACTGAGCCACATCCCCAGCCCTATTTTTTATTTTATTCAGAGACAGGATCTCACTGAGTTGCTTAGGGCCTCGCCATTGCTGAGGTTTGAGCTCGCGATCCTCCTGTCTCAGCCTCTGCTCCTGTCTCAACTTCCCAAGCTGCTGGGATTACAGGCTACACCCAGCAAGGAGAAACCTTCTGTAAGACATTTCAGGAACTGTTTTCTCCCTGACATTTTACACATTCACTGACTCTGAAGAGAGGCTTTCTGGGAGAGTTAGATCTGCTTTCCTAGGTAAACTTGTCGTGGACGGATTTCCTGCCTTAGAATCACCTGGGGTGGCAAGGATACACTAGGATGGCAAGGAATGGCAAACTTTTACCCAGGAACTCTGTATTTACCCAGTGTCCCAAATGTTTCTTGTTTGTATCAGAGTTGAAAAATAAAGTTGTATATAAGTATCCTTTCTAAGACAAGCACCCTGCTAACTGCAACCCACCCATTCCTGGAGTCTTTCCACTCTAATCTGGCTTGCCCCAATGTTCCAGGCAAATAAATCCCTGACTCTAAAACCCAGGCCTGACCTCTCCCTCTCCTCCTCCCCCTCGTCCTCCTGTAATGGCTGCCTTCACTTTGGAGAATGGCACCACATACCTATCTGGGTCCCCAAAGCTGGAAACCTGGGCCTCAGCCTTCATTCCTCCCTTTCTCTTGATCTCTTCCCACCCTCACATCCAACCATGGTACTGATCAAGCTGTTTTGTAATCACCTGTAAAGTGTGTGGTCTCCCTCATGAGACCCTAAGCACAGAGGTCTCAAAAGGGAGACCTACAATCTTAAGTCTCATTTGTCACTGCACTCCCAGAGCCTACCACAGGTCCTGGCACACAACAGGTGCCAAATAAATGTGTGCCAAAAAGAAACCACTCGTCCAATGTGTGTTTCCTCTGCCCAGAAGTCCTTTCCTAGCATCCTCCTGGATCAGTTCTCACAAGGGAACAAGCCTAGGCTGCTTGGGAGGGGCGGGAGTAAACTCACCGTCTTTCATACTCCATGTCTTGATAGGGCCTGCGGGGGCTGCTGGGGCCCCTCCTCAGCCGCTGGCTCCGTTTCACTTCCCAGCCACCCCCGCTGCTGCCACCATGATCTGCCAGCCTGGGTGATGCCTCTTGCAGGGACTCTGGGGAGAAGGGAAGGAAGAAAGGGATCAAGGCAGTTGGGGGCAGAGAGGGTCTCCTTGAGAGACCCTCATTGTCAAGGCTCTCTGCTGTCCCTCAGCCCAGGGACATTGTTTTTAACCTCCTACTATTCCTGTGCATCAGAGCAGGAAAGCGCCCCCCTGCTTCTTCCTTTTCTCACAAACATGAGGCTTGAGCCCACTGCCAGAGAAAACAGCAAAGCCTTCATCAGGGAGCATTCTGCAGAGAGACCTGTTGGGTCTCTCAGTGAATCAGGGCTTTCTGACTGGGAGGCAAATTCAAGCCCGGGGCACCTTGCCTCAGGGGAACTCCCAGTGCAGAAAGATTTGCCTGAGATTAGGCACCTCAGAGATGAGACTTCGCAAGGATGGAAATCTCAGGCCCCCACCAGGCACCTTCCACCTGCCCAAGGTACCATTTCATCCTTCAACAAAATGCTGGCAGCACCCAACAAGTCAGCAGAGACCATGAAAGGCTTTTGGGGGAGTATGAGAAGAGACAGCCACCACCTCCCTGGGCTCCTGGCCAAACACAGCCCTGGCCCTCACACAGCAACTAACTCGATTCTGATGTACAGCCGGGTCCCAAGGTGGCTCTCTCCCCAGGGCTCTGAGGCCAAGTTCTCCAAGGCAAAAGAGGCCCTTTCTGAACTGTTCCAAAACACTGTGCTTTTCTGCTAGGATGGAGATGCAGAAGAACTGCATCCAACTTTTAGGGCTTCCATGAGAACTAAGGGAGTCTAGAGAGCCATGTGACCCTGCTAGGGGTCAGAATGTATCACAGAATCATGCCCCACCCTCTAAACAGGAATCAGGTGAAGTCAGGCGGTTACAGCACCTGCCCAACACTAGGTTGCCACCACACCTTTCCTCCTTGTACACACATACTAATTTTCTCTTCCTCCTCAAGCCAGGGGGAACCAGAGTTACCTGCTTCCAGATGGGTAAAAGTGAGAATCCGAAGCAGGCCCCCGGTGGCTGAGAAAACCCTCAACAGACTCTGGCAAAAAGGCCAGACTTTGGCATCCACACAGATAGGAGCCAAAGTTACAGACACGAGCTCCAAATAAGTACGAACCAAAATCACAGAAGGATCCCACGTTAAGAGCCGAATCAACAGACTGAGCCCCTTTTCAACTGATGAAAGTCCGTGTCACAGAAGCGCCCCAAGAAAAGGGGCGCAAGTCACACATTCCCTGACAGTCGCTCTGCACTTAAAGTGGGTATGGGCAAGTAACAAGACAACCCCTGCAAGAATAACCACCAGTCACAGATATACATCCCAAAGATAAAGACCAGAGTCATAGTCTCTCTCAGCACCCGCACCCTCCCCCTCCCCGACGAATAAGGACCACAGCCACGGACATTTCTCCGTGGACAGATAAGTAGCAAAGTAACACAGGTCAGTCAGCATACCTCCCTTATGGATAAAAACCAAAGTCGCAGACATGCGCCTTCCCGTGGATAAAGTTCGGGGCGGCAAACGCACTAAGCCATTGAAGCCCACTCCCATCCGTCCCTCCCTTCCCCCAACCCGCGTGCACCCGTCCCGTGTCCCAATCGCGCACGCGCTTTTGCTCCAACATGGAAAAAAAAAAGACACCCCCCTCCTCGGTTCAGGCCAGACAGACATCCCTTGGCTCCACGCGAACCCCCCCGACCGCAGTCCGCCCTCGCGCCTCTTCTAAGCAACCCCACACACGCTCCGGACCCCTTACCTCCGCCCCCACGACCAGCGTCGACGCTCACCTTCTCGGCCCGGGCTGTCAAAGGAGGGCTCCCAGGCATCACCTCGGCCCGCCGCCACCTCCTCCAACTGTCCCAGCTCAGCCAAGGCCGGAGCGCTCAACAATCAAGTCCAAGGCTGGAGGCAGAAGGGAGGAGGGGGGAGGGGAGAAGCGCCAAGCGCGCTGCCCTCCCAAAGAAACTCACTGCCGCCTACTCCCAGCCGGCCGCAATCACCAGCACAAAATGGCGACGAGGAGAAGGGAGCCGGCGCTTCGACCACCATCCACCTACTAAGGGAGCGCGCTCTGGCCGGCTTCGTCTATTGGTCGCCGCCCGCCGACGGCCGGCCCTGGCCGCTTCTGATTGGCAAGCGTATGCCACCTCCCCACTCCCCGTGAAAACGCCCCGCAAGTCCAGAAAAAGAGTAGCTATTGGCCAATCCCGCAAGACCCGCTTTTTAGAAGCTTGGCTTCCTTTGAAGTTGAAAGCGAAGCGGAAGCTCCACCTCTTTCCCCACGGGGCCTGCCAGATGTCACCGCTTTCTTCCTATCAAGATGAAATTTCTCAGCCTGACCAAGAGGATAAGAGCATGGTTGGTCCCATGAGGCCATGACAAGGGAGAGAAAGGAGGACTCCTCGACGCCCCGCCTCATATGAACACAAACTTGAACCCGGGATCTATTTAGTGAGGTGGGGGAGGAGCGACAATGATCCCGGTTGAGTCAACTGCAGCTGCGCACAGTTCCATTTCCGTCTCCGCCCCTGAGAACCTGTAGCACAACCTGTCATGGCGACCGAGCTGTTAGGTTTGTGCGCTCGCCGCCTTTTGGCGGCAGCAGCGATACGAGGGCTCCCCGCTGCCCGCGTTCGCTGGGAATCCAGCTCCTCAAGGGCTGTGGTCGCTCCGTCTGCTGTGGCGGGAAAGCGGCCGCTGGAACCGACCATGCGCTGGCAGGAGGACCCAGAACCCGAGGACGAGAACCTCTATGAGAAGGTGAGAGGGAGGAGGAACGGGACGCCGGAGGGGTCAATCAGGGACCCGAGGACCGGGAGTTGTAGAGGACGTTCTTAGGTGCTGAGAATTGCTCAGCCGGCAAAATCTTTGAAGACTTGGGAATTTTGCCTAGTTTGTTTTCGTCCTTTGTGCCCTGATATCTTCGGTCCAGGGCCAGAGGCTGGATTGACCTTATTTTGGAAACAGAAATTAAACCTGAAGTGCGGAGCGCTCAGGCACGTTTGAAAAAAATAGAATCACGTTAATACTAAACAGTGACAGGGCACTTGCCTGGTGTCCCTCCCTGTTTTAAACATTTTATATACATTAACTCATTTAGTCTGCAAAACAACCCGATTTTAAGGTAGGGACTCTCTTCTACAGATGAAGAAACTGAAGCACAGAGATGCGAAATTTCTTGCCCAAGCTCACATAACTGAATACATGTGGAACTGGTATTTGAACTTAGAGCTACCAGGTCTCCTGTGCCGTGTCAATAGCAGAGGCTCTGGACTCAGACAGCTCAAGTTGGAATCCAAGCACTAACAGTTATCTGTGTGACCTTGGGCAAGTAGCTTAAACCCTTGGTGCCTCAATTTCTTTATAGAATAGGAAAAGGAATAGGACACCTTAAAAAAAAACCAATCTGTTCTCATGTAATTAAATGAATCAAAAATGGCCAAAACAGCAACTGGCACTTTGAAAGTACTCAACCTTAAAAGGTGTTCATTACTGCCACTTTCTACCTCTAAGATGTTGTGAGGTTTGCATATTTGAAAAGACCTGGCACATACTAAGTATTTCATCAACACTTATCTCTGGTTGAGGATATTGGATATATAGGATGCTGTAGGGTAAGTACATGGAGAGTAACTAGGGTGCAGAGTGCTATTTTATTAGGTTGAACCATAAGAGCTTGTCAGTATTCAACCATTTTTTTAACCTATAAAAATAGCAGTTTTCTGTGGTTCCTATGTTATCTATTAACAAGGTGACTAGGGGATACCTCCTAAAGGAATTGGTGGAGCCAACTCTTCATTTGGCAATGAAATCAAAACCTTGAATGAGGAGATGGATCCAGCCATGATTAGATCTGGGAGAAAGGCTTTCTAGGCAGAGGAAACAACAGCAAGTGCAAAATCTGTGTGATGGGAAGGAACTTAACATATCCTAAAGATAGAGAAGTTAGTGAGGGAGGAGATGGATCTGAGGGAAGATTAGAGATCAGGTTATACAGGGCCAGCATACAGCTTTATGGCGCAAGGGAAGCCCTCACTCACCTCTCCTTTTTCACAGAACCCAGACTCTCATGGTTACGACAAGGACCCTGTTGTGGACCTCTGGAACATGCGGGTTATCTTCTTCTTTGGTGTCTCAATTGTCCTGGTCTTAGGCACCACCTTTGTGGCTTATCTGCCTGACTACAGGTACAAGGGGTATCTGAGAGAGTGGGCTGGGTAGGAGGCAGAGGAAGGGGTAGAAGTTGCAGGGCTCTCTGCTGGAAATCCTGTCCCTGCACCATTGGGAAATGGAGTGCTGAGGTGGGGTGGGGTACTGTTTTCTAGTGAAGTTTCCTCATATCCCCCCACTGCTTCTGCTTCCAGGATGCGGGAGTGGGCCCGCCGGGAAGCTGAGAGGCTTGTGAAATACCGAGAGGCCAATGGCCTCCCCGTCATGGAATCCAACTGCTTTGACCCCAGCAAAATCCAGCTGCCTGATGATGACTGACCAGTTGCTGAGTGGGGCTCAAGATGCACCACCTTCCCTACCTGCTACCTGCCATTCTACCTACTCCTCAGAGGTCGTAATTAAAGGGACTGAAAAATCTGACTGGCTACCATTGCTTTTGTTGTGAAGGGGGTTTGAAGATGGGGGTGTCACAAGCTTTAAAAGGGCCACTGCAGCCTTTCCTGGGTGTTCTGGTTATCTATTACTGTGTAACAAACATCCTAAAGCTTAGTGGCTGAAAACTATAATATAGTATTATCTTTTTTTATGATTTGTGGGTTGCATGGGCTTAACTAGGTGGCCCTTCTTGGGATCTCAATTAGATGGTGGCTGGGGCTAGAGTCATCTGAAACTCAATTGAGCTAGACATCCAAGATGGTTTCTTCACCCGCATGTCTGGCATTTCAGTCTTCTTTCACATGGCTTCTCTTCAACAGACTACCCTAGAGTTCTTATGGGGTTGTTAAGGGCTTCTCTGGGTGGCAGTGTAGCATATAGAAAGATATTGATGGCAGCCACCTTTAGAAATAAGCTAGCACAATGGGGCCTACATTTGAAGATGGAATGGGATGACTAAAGATTGAGGGTGATGCATGAGAACAGCTTTTCAATTGCTGAGGGTGAATATTTATCTACTTCCCTTCTCTGCTGCTCTCTGGCTTTGGAGATATCTTCCTCTGTCTTATATCTTGATCAGTCTAGGTAGCTCTCTATTCCGTTCTGTTTCAAATCTGGGTTGTCTCTTACTCAAGACACATCAGGGTTGAGGGTGTAGTTCATTCGTACAGCACTTGCCTAGCATATATGAGGTCCTGGGTTCCATCTCTAGCAACACCAAAAACACAAACCCACATCTCTGCATGTGTGTGTGTTTCTCTCCTGGCCCCAATTCTCTTTCTCAAATAAGAAATCTTCCTCCCTTCATTTTCTCTCTGAGAATAGACTATCTCCCTTCCCTTGTCTGCTGGCATTAACACCCTACCTCCACCCCCATCCCTGCTCATCTGGCCTGCTGGACTCACCACCAAAGGCAATGGTCTGCCCTTGGCTGATGAGTGAGTGTTAGGACTGGCCCCAGTCCACATGTATGTGACTAAAGCAGGAACCATATCCACATGAGCCTTCCTGTAAATGAGAACTATCGTTACCTGAGTGCTTCCTTAGGGCCACTCTACCAACTCAAGGATAGGTCCCAAAGAGAGCACTCTTTACCCTCCAACCTGTATTTGCCAAAATGAAGTGAAAGGGGATGTTGACCTAGGTACCCATAATAATCTCAGTCTGTGGCTCAGAGAATCCACCCCGCCACACCAGGATGCAAACTCCAGAAGGGCAAAGATTCAGGTATATTCTGCTTACTTAGAGCAGTGACTGGCATAGCATGTGTATGATAAACTTTTTTTAAAAAATATTTTTTTATTTGTAGATGGACACAATACCTTCATTCACTTATTTATTTGTTTATTTTTATATGGTGCTGAAGATTGAACCCAGTGCCTCCTACATCCTAGGCAAGCGCTCTATCATTGAGCTACAACCCCAGCCCTTGATGAACTTCTGGTACTTAACCTCTTATGTAGATGACATCCCCTGCCCATCCATGCCCTTCAGGTTTATAGCCCTAAGGATGAACACTTCCCTCATCAAGCTGTTTTGATTTCTGGTACTGGGGATTGAAGCCAGGGGTGCTTTACCACTTGAGCTATACCACTAACCCATTATTTATTTATTTATCTATTTATTTATGTTTTGAAACAGAGTCTCACTAGGTTGCAGAGGCTGGCCTTGTGATTACCCTTCCCAAGTTGCAGGGATTATAGGCATGTGCCACCACACTCAGCTTCTGAACATTTTTTTAACATAATTTTTTGTGGTGCTGGAGACCACACCCAGTACCTTCCACGTGCTAGGCAAATGCTTTACCACTGAGCCATATCTCTAGCTCTTTATGAATGTTCTTGTATACATCTCCCATCTTTTTTTTTTTTTTTCTGGTACTTAGGATTTAACCCAGGTTGCTTTACCACCAAGCTATATCCCCAGCCCTTTTTATTTTTTGAGACAGGGGACTTGGGGCCTTGTTAAGTTGCTGAGGCTGGCCTTAAACTTGCAATCCTCCTGTCTCAGCCTCCCAAGCCACTGGCATTACATGGGTGTACCACCACACCCTCTTGTACACATCTTTTGATGGACATATGCATTCATTTCCCTTGGAAATATATCTAGGAATGCAGTTGCTAAGTTACGGAGTAAACATAATCAGCTTTAGTAGATCATGCCAATTTTCCAATGTACACTCCCCTGTGGCAGATTCACCATCATTTATCCTTTTCCATCTTTTCCATTGTATCCATTTTGGCAGGTTACTGATATTTTAGGGCCTACATTGGGATTAAGGGGTGGAAATTGAGTGTCTATGGAGTGTTAGGCCCCTACAGTGTGCCAGGCACTGATGGATATGAGCCTCTGTTCTCAGGAATCCCAGGACTAGGGTGGGGGCCTGATGTGAGTAGTCAGAGAACATAATCACCATGTTTCATCTTACCATTCGACCCCAAGTCCATTTGAATGTTGATATTTTGGGACCCAGATTTGCTTTGCTAACATAACAGATACCAAACCTGATCCTTCAATCTAACAGAGCATTTCTTCTGCACAAGGCCCAGTGAACAAGGCGGTCCCTGTGGCAGGTACTATCATTTCCCTGTCCATAGCCCTGAGGCCTGTGCACTGGCCAACTTCCAACCATCAGATTCTACGTGGCTTTTCTGGAAGGCAGATTGCAGGTGCCATGAAATGAAGACCCCCACCCTACCCCAAAGTAGCCTTCAACCCTGATGAGAGCCGGTGAATAAATACTCTTCTTCCCTCACCCCTCAGATGGTCCAACTTGTATGTTCACCACTGGCCCTAAAACTCCTCAGTGGGAATATGCTCCAGTTGCCCACAGTGATAAACAACTGAAAAAATACTTTATTGATTTCTATGTATGGTGGCGCATGTCTGTAATCCCAGAGACTTGGGAAGCTGAGGCAGGAGGATCGAAAGTTTGAGACCACCTTCAGCAATTTAGGGAGACCCTAAGCAACTAAGTGAGACCCTGTCTCAAAATAAAAAATAAGAAAAAGGAAAAAGAAGAATAAAACTAAAAAACAAAATAGTCAAAATGAAAAATAAAAAGGGCAGAGGATGTGACTCAGTGACTAAGCACCCCTGCATTCAATCCCTGATACCAAAACAACACTTCCAACACTTCCTTGGTGGCCTTCTCTTCATTGTCTCACTTCCTCACTTTTCCAATGCCCTGTGGGCATGTCCTGGAATCTCTTCCTACATAAACTACTTGACTTCAATCCTTGTCTCAGGGACACAAAATAAGACAGTCTCTGTCCTCAAGGACTTTATAGGTTGGTAGGTGACATTCTGAGATATCCTAAATTGAGTTACATGCCAGAGAATGGAGGGGGGCAGAGATAAGTGGAGGTCATTTTAATCGACAGGTTCAAGCTAAATCAACAAAGAAAAAGAAAAAACTGCTCCAAATTTCCTTTCCTGTATGCTACAGATTAGCCCTCAAGGCAATATTGCATTCTGCTTTGAATCAACCAAGCAAGAAGCAGCAAAAACTTCTATTTATGGACTAACCGCCTATCCCAGGACTTTGCTCACCTGGCCGTGTCCTACCCCTCTTATCTATAGCCAGTGTATGTCCAATATAAATGATTTATGTTTCTTCTCCCCACAATTCATTCATTATACAGCACCCTGGCCCCTTAGGTTCAGTGGACATTTTTCCAGCTGTTATCTGTTAACTTAGGAAATTTGTCCCAGCACTGGTCTTTTCACCTTTGCCTACTATCTGTAATAGCTCAAGAAACCCTTTATTTCAGAGGCCTCTTAGTCTCAAAAGTTGATTTAACAAGGGCAAGGTGAGGATAAATAAGCACACAAAGCATCAGATAAATCCCACCAGAAGGCTAGTGTGGCTGGAATATTATGATGACAAGAGTGTTTAGAGATGAGGTTATGGAAGTGGTCAGGGGCCAGAACAGTAAGGCTCCATGGGCCATAATTAGAAAGAGCTGGGGGCTGGGGATATAGCTCAGTTGGCAAAGTGCTTGCCTCACATGCACATGGCCATGGGTTCAATCTCCAGCACCACCAAAAACAAAAAAAAAAAAAAAGAAAAAAGAAAGAGCTTAGATTTTATACACTGCACAAAGTTGGCCAGAAGCTTATGGAAAACAGATTAGCAAAGCACATCCCAGAAAATTTGGACTGTCTAAATGGGATTGCTTACAGTTCTTCTCATGGATTGTCCAGGAAATAAAACTAAAATATCTTTTTTTTTTTTTTTTTTTTTAGAAAAAGGAAAAAGAAGGTTTATTGCGTTGCTAGCAAAGAAAAAATACAGGGGACTCCTGTCTGAAAGGCTGTGATTCTGCCCATCAGCAGAAACAGGGGGCTTTTATTTGGGGTACCCAGGATTGAACTCAGCGGCACTCAACCACTGAGCCACATCTCCATCCCTATTTTGTATTTTATTTAGAGACAGGATCTCACTGAGTTCCTTAGCACCTTGCTTTTGCTGAGGCTGGCTTTGAACTCATGGTTCTCCTGTCTCAGCCTCCCGAGCTACTGGGATTACAGGCATGTTCCACTGCACCTGGCCCTTTAATTTTATTTAAAGTACATAACTCTGCAGAAGACCTGGCATTATTATTAGTCCCATCTTTCATTTGCATCTGCAGAGGCCTCAGTGAGTATTGAGCCCAGGGTTTCAGGACCAGCCATGTAGTTTGTGAGCAGCTCCCCTGCGTTGGGAGGCTAGCTGCTGATCCATACTTTGTTCCTGTAGAATGAATGATCACTGGGGCTTTGAGAAGGGGTTTGAGCATCAAGCCAGGTTTGCTTGTAAAGAAACCAAGCCAGCAGTCTTCCAGGTAATAAGGGAGAGTGCTCAGCATGCTGTGGCCTTTATCAGACAATACATTTAAGGAATAACAATTTAGGGGTAATGGTAATTGATAGATAAATAATTAAAATATGTAACAGTGATAAATGTTGAGAAAAATGAAGCAGAAAAGGGTATCATATGT